CATTATAAGAATGACTCTTTCAAATTAATTTACTTCGTTCATTACGTTAGAATTCGAATTATAATCTTGTTTGACAGATTTAAACACATTATCCTACAAGATCAATTGGTAGTTAAAAGATAAATTACTGAGAAAAGATTGTTGTTATCTCTTGAGGTATTGGGTTCGAACACGACGTCAGTAAATGAGCATAAATTCTTAAATGATTGAGTTGTGAAAATTTTTGGATGGAACGTGAGAACATTTAGGTCGAGATATCTTCTTATAATATGATTGATCGTCAGTTATCTCTCAAAAGTATCTTAAAACTCTTTAATTAGACATATTTAGTCATTTAACTTTTATTACATTTATGTTTTGATCATTCATTTTTAATTTTTTTTTAATTTACCACTTAATTTTCGAATTTTATTTTATTGGTCAATCGATCATTAAGTGTCTAATGTTGTTTTATTGTCGCCCGTCGGTCACAATAGATTTTCTAAATTTTGAGATTATTAATTAATCAGTAAGATTTATCATCTCTCTATCTAGCATTTGTTGGACTTCTTCCAACAAATGCTAAAACCCAATTGAGATGGTATAATCTTCGACTCTAAGGTTTGTTTTTATTTTGGTCACCCAACTTCAAAAAATTAAAATTTTGTCGCCAATGTTTTTAAAATTTAAAATATTGATCATCCATCATTAAGTCTTAATGAAATGATGATGTAACTTTTTTAAGTTGCTACAATAACACATTTAGACCTTGTCATGTATTCATTCTATCGATTCGATCTTAATTTTAAATTAAATTTTTTCAACTTCAACCTCTATATTTAAATCAGTAACATCCATAACCACGATCTCCGATTAACTTCCCTACATCATGCTCGAATCTCTTGACATTTTTTCCCTAACAAACAGTGATACAAAGGATTAGAGATAGTAGTTTTGGTGTTCACACATTAGATGGTGCGGAGAGCTATTAAGATTGAGGTGATCAGTAGGAACAAACGCACGATTTTAAACTAAGGGAGCGAAGCGAACTTATAAAATTTTACAGAGACAACAATCGTCCCATCAACCCTCTCAGTCCATCCCTAGTGACGAGGACCCCTACTAGTAGTTCCATCTATGCCAACAAACATGAAATTAAGAAAAAGAGGGCATAGCGCAAAGGCAATGCAAAAACGTGCATGAGAAAGTGATGGAAAATTCAAGGTTAAAAAGACAAATTAAGAAAAAGGTTGGAGTATTTTAGCCCCTAGGTTTTATTTTCGGGCAAAAAGATCCCTAACATTTGACATGATAATCACTTTGATCCTTATTCTTTTTTCTGGATCATTTTATCCCTCAATGTTTCATTTTAGGTTAAAAAACTTCTATTTTGGAGCATTAATCATGTATTAACCAATGATTTTCATCTATAGAGAGAGCTTTTTCTCCCAAAGTGAAACGTTATGGCCAAATTACTAAAAAAAAGAGTCAAAATGACCATTTTCGTAAATATTCGGGGCCTTAAATGCATCATATAACACTATAAATAAAATCGAGTCGAATTTTATTTCAGACACATTTAAAAAATCAAATGCGAATTAAATTCGAGTGTAATCATGTATATAATATATGTGACTGATTTAAATAATATTATTCTAAAATTTAAATTTATATAATAGTGTAATTACAAGTTGTACTATCAAACATGATATCAAGAACAAAAATATAATTATATTTTATAATCAAATATGTTTAGATAATTAAAATTTATTATAATTACACTAACATATAATTATTAGAATAATAATTATATTTTCATACCAATATATTAAAAATAAATTAATAATTTGATATTATAACTATATTGTAAATAAAATCTAGATTAAACTTGTGAATTAAAAAATGACATAAATCGATTATAACCGAAAATATTATCAAAAAGCGTAACATTTTAGGCTAAACATGATAATATTTTAGCTTGAAATCGAAAATGTTGTCTTATTTATAATATTTTCGATTGCAACCGAAATTATTACCAGTTGTATAATGTTTTAGTTGAAAACCCTAAATATACTACAACATAATTTTTTTCAAATACGACCGAACATATTACGAGTTATATAACTTTTTAAGTTAAATAAAATAACATTTTAATTTTAGGATAAACTATCGATTATTGTGGCCTTTTTTAGGATAAACTACACCAAATACCACAAAACTTTAGATATAGTATCATTTATATCACTGAATTTTAATTTTATCAATTATATCATTAAACTTTTGATTTCTGTTTCAATTATACCACTGGACCGTTAAATCGTTAACAGCCAAATCAAAACGATGTCGTTTTGTTGAGGTGTCTATGGTGACAGCTGTCAGCCATGTCATTGTGTTGTTAACGATTTAACGGTTCAGTGGCATAATTGAAGCGTAAATCAAAATTCAATGCTATAATTAACAAAATTGAAAGTTCAATGATATAATAATACAACACCTAAAGTAGTAAGATTAAAATAATAAGCATAAAAAATGTAACTTTATAAAAAATAATTAAATATAACTCGTGAAGGAAATCTAAATAAAAAGATACTCAAATTGTCTATATAACCTACTAAGGTAAATAATGACTTCGATCCTGGCTCTCTACAGTCTTTGCAGATGGAATTCAGTTCAAGGAATCACATCATTAAGAGACTATCGAAGGAAAACAACATCTTTAAAGAAGTAAAGTATGTTTTCCGAAAGTACACTGCTAGACCTACACGAAGAAAAACAATATTCTTTAGTGGTGTGACATTTCCCCCTCCCCTCACTAATTTAGTCATCGCATTTATGCATGATGTTTCGTTTTGGTTATTCAATCCAATAATATGATAAATTGGCTAAATTTTAATATTAGAGTTTTCATTTCTAAGGTTTAATTTAGGAGAATTTCTGATTTTGTCATCGTATTTATGTTGATATTATATTTTAGGTATTCGATTTAAATAAATTGTTAAAAGTGGTTAAGTTTTAATATTAGAGTCATCATTTTAAATTTAATCATGAGTTCTCGAAATTCATAATTTGACATTTAGTTAAAGAAAACTTTTAACTAGTTCACCAATAATCGGTTGCAACCGAAAATGTTATAAAAATGATAATTGTACAATTTAAAAAAGTACATTTTTAATAAGATTTTCGATTATAATTTTTTATTAATTTGAGATAAGTACAAGTTAATATCTACTCAAAGATAACTCTAAACCTTTTAAAATATTATCTAATTTAATATTTTAAGATATTATAGTTTAGGGTAAACTACACAAATGGTCTCCGACTATAAGATAATATTTTATTAAGTCCCTGAACTATTAAAAATTATAAAATGGTTAAAAGTTACGAAATGATCACTCAACTATTTATTATGTTCTATATTCGTCATTTTTCGTTAAAATTGACGACATTTTAAATTGAACGTTAACATTTTGACTGTGATATGATAAAATCTTATCCTAAAATCTCAAACGACTATCATTTCCCAGTCATCATGTTAACGTCCGGTTTATATAATTACCAATTTTTAATATATTTTAAGTAAATATTGCTTCACTTTTTACTATGAGCCCTGTAAACTGATAAAATCAGATTGATTTTTTTAGCAAGGCAATTAAGATTTGATCTATTATTGAGCGACACTTTTGGTTTAAATTTTGGTTATGGGTAACTTATATCATGTCATCTAATTAATAGTAAAATTATAAATAGGTTATTCAGTTTTAGAATGTTACAAACAAGTCACTCAATTAATCGATTTGACTATCAGATCATGTGTTGTTGTGTCAAAAGTCGATACCCATCATATATAGTGGTTGATGAACCCTAATTTTTCACCATAATATTCACATTGATCTCTTTGTTCAATTCATCGGATTAGGTTCCCGATAAACCCTCTTAAAAGTTATGAAATCACCTCAAAACTATTAAACTTTGTTCTTCATCGTTTACCTTCAAATGGACTCTATCTAGGGATGTATTCTTCATCTCACAGACATCTCTCAAACGTTTCGATTTTCGAATGAAGTTCTCGATCTTTGAGAAGATCAAAACCCAGAATATTATTTTTAATTTTCTTTACCGATTAATTGAATGACTCGTCAGTGACTTTTTGAAATGGGTGACCTGTTTATAATATTACTAATGATTGAATGAGTTATGGTGTAACTTGGATCTCTTTGTTCAATTCATCGGATTAGGTTCCCGAGGAACCCTCTTTAAAGTTATGAAATCACCTCAGAACCATTAAACTTTGTTCTGCATCGTTTACCTTCAAATGGACTCTATCTAGGGATGTATTCTTCAGCTCACAGACATCTCTCAAACGTTTCGATTTTCGAATGAAGTTCTCGATCTTTGAGAAGATCAAAACCTATAATATTATTTTTAATTTTCTTTACCGATTAATTAAATGACTCGTCAGTGACTTTTTGAAATGGGTGACCCGTTTATAATATTACTAATGATTGAATGAGTTATGGTGTAACTTGGCCAATAAAAACATTGAAAAATATTTTAAAAATTATCCTAAATTAATTTTTGTACGAATAATTTTTAAATTTAAATTATAATGACCAAATTGAATTAAATTTGGTTCCAATTTATCATGTTAATTATTTTTTAATTCAAAAGAAAATTATTATTCAATGATTTTGTTTTAACTTTAAAACGGCACAATGGAGTCAACCTCTATTATACCAGAGAATGGTAGTTTCGTTATTATTCAAAATTCAGTGCCTTATTTCAGAATACAAATCTCACTTCAGTATCTCAGTTAGGCTAAGCTAAGCTAAGCTCTCTTTGCCGTTCTTCTTCCTCTTCATCGTTTCTTCTCTCTCTCTCTCTCTCTCTAAAACTCGCCTGAAAATTGCAAAAACGTTGCCGTTTTCACTTCCAGGCTTCCTTTTGACTGCGGAACCGCTACTGGTTTTCCGTTAATCGGGTTACATTATCCCCCTCCCAATGCATTTGCCTTGAGAGGAAGAATGGGTTGCGTCTTCGGAAAGCAATCACAAGCGCCGTCATCTGATCGCCGGAACAGGGGCAACACCGTTGAATCATCACATCCTCCACGTACTCGTCGTCGCCGTAGCTCCGGTGAGACATCCACGGACGTTTCAGTCAATGAAGCCGTGGACCCGGTCGCGAATGTCAAACAGCGGGAGAGACAGAGACCACAAAAGCAGAAGGCTAGACATAGTGGCGATTTCCCGGTGGCCATTCCTGCTCCAGAGACACGGCGGACTTCTTCAGACCTGAACCAACAAGGGTGGCCGTCGTGGTTGATGGCCGTAGCCGGTGAAGCCATCCGTGACTGGACCCCAAGACGCGCCAACACCTTTGAGAAACTTGACAAAGTATATCCATTTTCCTTTCTTTTTTTAAAGCTTAATTGAAAGCTTCCTTTGCTATAAACATCTTTAACAATTCTGGGTTTTATATTTTAGATTGGGCAAGGGACTTACAGCAATGTATACAAAGCCAGGGATCTACTAACAGGGAAAATAGTGGCATTAAAGAAGGTAAGATTTGATAATTTGGAACCAGAAAGTGTGAAGTTTATGGCTAGGGAAATTCTTGTATTAAGTAAGCTCGATCATCCTAATGTAATCAAACTTGAAGGCTTAGTTACTTCAAGAATGTCTTCTAGTCTTTACTTGGTGTTCGAATACATGGAGCATGATCTTGCTGGCCTTGCTGACTGCCATGAAATTAAGTTCACTGAGCCTCAGGTACACCATTCTTTCGTAATTAATGCTGATTAGTGCTAGGTTTTACCATTAATATGTGATTACTTTTCTTGGGTTCTTTCCATATTTTGCACTTGCTTGTCCATTTGAGATTTTATGATATGTACATGTATGTATGTATGTATGTATGTATGTATGTATGTATGTATGATTATGTATTTGTTTCTTGTACCCTTTTTTGTTTTTGTTGGTTGTGGGCATTTGATGTTGCTCTCAAGTATTTTCGCTTGCTACTTGGGTCCCATAGCTAATGGTTTTGTACTGTTTTTGAGTATGCAAATTCATGGAAATTTCCTGCTTGACATCAATTTTTGGAGTTGTTTTCCCACTTCTTTTGAATCATACCTTTTGTTTCCACACTTTCTTGATGGAATGAAAGTGATATAACGTGACAAAAAGGAGAAAGGATCCTACTTTTTTCAACAGTTAAATAGTATATTAGCTTATTTATCTTTCGGTTTCTGGAAACAGAACGAGCTGCTAATAGGAAATGATGATTGATTCCTTTAAGTTATCTGCAAATGAACTCGAGGTTTATTTATGACAATGATTCTCATCATAAGAAGTTACAGTTGTGACCAAGACATTCCTCCAACATGGTGTGATTTGCCACCTTTTTGAAGACAGATTCACCGGAAATAAACATTTCATATAAGCTTATGGTTGTTTATCGTTTGTTTTCGGATGTTGGTTCGTTGCTGAAATTCGATAATTGTTGCTGAATGTGTAAAAATGCTGAGAAATGGCAGTAGGTTGTAATGTTGATGCTATATGTGAAGGTATTTCTACTTTTCTAGGAGTGGCTAGAATTAGTTAAGCCCTACTAATGATCATCCCAAATTAAATACTTAACTTGTAGATAAAATTGAGATTATTTAGAAATTCTCATGCAAGGCTGGTTCAGGCTTGTGATATCGGGAATTTACAATTGTCGGTGTTTGGCTAATGGAGTTTGCATTGCTGAAGAGGTGAAATTTAGATGATTGCTTTGTTTTTTATGTTTCTTCCCTCTGGCAGGTAAAGTGCTATATGAAGCAGTTACTTTCCGGGCTAGAGCATTGCCACGAACAAGGTGTTTTGCATCGTGATATCAAGGGTTCTAATCTCCTTATCGACAATGAAGGAATTCTAAAAATTGCTGATTTCGGACTGGCTACCTTTTATGATCCTGAACAGAAGAGCCCCTTGACTAGTCAAGTAGTTACACTTTGGTATCGTCCACCCGAACTACTTCTTGGGGCAACTTATTACAGTGTTGGGGTTGACCTCTGGAGTGCCGGTTGCATTTTGGCCGAGCTACTTTCGGGGAAGCCGGTAATGCCAGGAAGGACAGAGGTACCAACTTTTCTGTCTCTTTTGTCGACCTGCTCTTACAATCTGTAATCAGAGCTTTCATCTTTTGTAAATCTATCGGGAAACCAGTGTTTTCGAGTCAAATGAATATGAACTGCGGTTTAAATAAGTAATTATTTTCGATCTATAACATCAGATTTTTTCCCTCCTGCTTTAGGTTGAGCAACTGCATAAGATATTCAAGTTATGTGGATCCCCTTCTGAGCAATATTGGAAGAAATCCAAATTGCCAAATGCAACCCTCTTTAAGCCACAACAACCATATAAACGCTGTATAGCAGAAACTTTCAAGGATTTTCCATTGTCTTCTTTACCTCTCATCGAAACACTTCTTTCAATAGACCCCGAAGAACGAAGTACTGCCACTGCAGCTCTTAACAGTGAAGTGAGTTATATCAGCTTTGTTAATGGGGAAAAAATCAATATTCGTGTGTTACCTATAACCCAAGGACTTGCATGATCTATACCCTTTGAATGATCAAATATCCAGTGTTGGATACTCATATTCCGTTCTCAATTCTCACCATCAATTGTTGCAATATCTATAAATTGGTTTGTGAAATACTTAATTTCCTGTTTGCAGTTCTTTACCTCTGAACCATGTGCTTGTGAGCCATCGTGTTTACCGAAATATCCACCCAGTAAAGAAATGGATGTAAGATTGAGAGACGAGCAAGCGCGAAGGTTGGCTGGCTTTCTTTTTCTTTTTTCAGTTCGGCTGTATTCTGGCAACTGATATTAATTTTCCCATACAGGCAACGAAGTCTAGCTGGCAAGGTTAATGCAGTTGATGGTGCAAGGAAAACTCGAGTTAGCGAACGTGCTAGCCGGGCGGTTCCTGCCCCCGAAGCAAATGCTGAAATTCAAGCAAACTTGGATGTAAGTCGGGGACTTTTCTCTTGTTCTATCTTTTTTACCAATTCTTTTATTGTTCATTATCCATGCCTCTTGAATCCACAAATGAATACTCTACTTGCCAAATGCAATTGTTTTCGGGATAATCTCGCAAACGAAATTTCGTTTATGGTTTTCCAGAAATGGAGAGTGATGACACAAACAAATGCCAAGAGCAAGAGTGAGAAATTCCCACCTCCCCATCAAGATGGAGCCGTGGGGCATCCATTCGATGCATCACACAAAGGGCCTCTATCATTCTCTACAACCGACACTTCTTTCACCTCTTCGGTTTTCAGCTCCAAGTTATCTGAATCCGCTAAAAATCCCGTACCTGCCGACGGCCCTTCCAGGAGGAGGAAAACCAATAAAGACCTGCGGAGGGATCCGTCTCGAAAGTTCATTCGCGGTTTCAAACCGTCCTCGATAGGCCTATCCATGGATTTTCTATTCCGGGGTAAGTCCGAGGTCCTTCGTAGTCAGAATTAGAATAGTGTTCCAAGTTTATAAACCCCTTGCTTCTTAAGGAACTTGAAAATGTAGTTTTCCCATCCCTTATTTAATTGTATCTGATGATATAAGTATCTGGTGTATAATCCACGCCAAGATCCCAAATCTTTTGGTGTATAATCTGCCAATGCAATCCCACTTTTTGTTGTACAGTCTCTCAACAAGCACAAGTTAGTCATGCGTTTGATTATGCATAATTTTGATAATTCGATAGATTTTAATGCCCTTCTCTTTAATAAAAATATACAAATTTTATACATGAGAGATGTATGAGTAATAGTGTAAGATTCCCCTACTAAAATTTGAGACCCAATGAAGAATGAGTTGTAAACCTTAAACCACTTGGTGGACGACACATCATAAAGTGACATAGTGGGACCAGGGCCGTGGCTTGGAGGTGCAAACTGCGCGACCGCGTAGGGACCTAAAAAAAATATATATATAGTGACGTTTTATTAATAAACGCCACTATAGATGGACCTATTGCGACGTATTTTTAAAAAAACGCCACTATTATTGCGGATTTATTGATAAAACGCCATTATAGATTGATCTATTACGACGTTTGTCCAGAAAACGCCACTATTGTTGTCCCGAAATCGAATATATCTAGAAAATAGGGGTCCTTTTATACGAATTTGTACATGACCCCCGAAAATCCTGCCACAGCCCTGAGTGGGACCAATCTATTAGATATTTTGTTATTAACGTATGTGCTCGAACCAAATGATCTCAATGGTTAAAAAATTATTATTATTTTAAAATTTTCAGATTCAAGAACTATATATGCAGGAGTGTATCAGTACGAGCACATTAACTGTCAAATGGTTAATTCATTAAATAGATATTATATTGAATTCACTCTAAATAAATAAATAAAAACAAAATTATTAACATATTTCTAGGTGTATCTCACTAAATGCCATTAACAAATTATTTTAGGTTTAGGGGCAATTATTAACATATTTCTAGATAATTTTGGTCTATTACAAGGGTAATTATGTATTTATATTTTATTTTAATTATTTAATATTAACCTCCTTAAAAAATAATTTATTACTTAATAATATAGTTTAATTATTTAAAGTAAATAAAATTCATGGTTTATATATTGAAATATTAATAAAATATATTATATCCACTTGTTAAAAAAATTGATAATATATCCTTCTGTATATCCTTCTCATGTTTCGTCTTTTAAATTTATTCGGGAGTTACGTTTTTTGTCTATATGCAGAGATTTGTACGAAGGGATTTATTTGCATTGATAACTTCCCATTACAGACGCGCATATGAAGACTGCATATGAAGACTGTTCAACTATGTATTTATTTATTTATTTCTTTATTTATACATGTATTGTATTTTATCTTTATTTTTAAATTTTTCTGACTGCCGGAGCTTCCACGGAAGCTGCTCTCAACCTGGTGTTGGGGACAGCCTACTACCCTATCTCCCCCTAACCCTATTACATATGGGAATAGGGTTTTGTTGTTGTTGTTGTTTTTTAATAAAATATTTCATTTATAAAATTTATTAATAAGTTATTTTTATTTTTTTAGGCTTAAGAGTCACAGTTGCCCCTGTAGTAGATCAAATTTATCAATTTCACCCCTACCATATTTTCGCATCAATTTTTTCCTCGAAGTTGTCTAATTTTATCAATATCTACTTTTGACCGTTTTAACTAACGGAACTATTAATTTCTACTTACGTGGACTCTAGCTGTTTCCACCTAAGATAATTTTGCTAACGTGTTAATAGGATGACGTGGTAATAACAAAAAAAATTGCATATGGACCAGGGCATTCCAATTATGTCTCATTTGTTGAATGGATTTCTCCTCCGAAGGCAGCAGCTCCGTCGCCTCTGGCGGCGCCAACAACACCAACTCCAGCTAGAGGTGCTAAAAACTACATTTTATCAGATGAAATTACGTTTCCTGATTGCATTAGAATTAAGATAAACTCTACTAACCAATCCAAGAAATTATCCAAACTAATAAAACAACGTATATAAATTTAAAAAAAATCACAAAACAAAATTTTGATAGCTCAAAATAATTCATTGTATCCTTCAAGGTTTTGCAATGAGAAAAAAAAATGGATAGCTAAGGAACAAAGCAACAAACAGAAAAGCAAAAGCAAAAGTAACAACTCTAATATCAACATAAGTCGAAGCAAGAAGAAGAGAAAATAGAAGGTCGATGGGTGAGTTTGACATTTTCCGACAACCTAGACATCGGTTGAAAGATCCGTGTGGTGGAAAGGTTGAATGGCAACAAGGAGCAACATAATGTGAAGATGGTTCCATCATACGGTTGTTGGCGACGAAATGAAGTATTTTTGTTTCTAAAAAATCAATTGGTTTTATCTATTTTGATATACGATGATTGGTGATGTATTCGAGTAATCAAAGGTCAGATTCATGACGAGGAACACAAGACGATTTTGATGATGTATTTTTCGTCCCAAACGGTGGTCGGCAACGACGAACAACGCTGTGTCACCTGTGGACAAAGGTGAAAGGCTTAGAGAAGAAAGGAAATAAAGTGAAAAAAATATGGGGGAGGAAACTTAAAATGGTATATATATTTGCTTCCAAAACTACGTACCTTATAATCACTCCAGACTATTCAATTTTGAATGATAAAATTAGGGGTGAGCGTTCTATCAAGTCGAGTCAATCTAAAAAATTTTGAGGTATTCGAGTTGGCTCAAACTTGAAAATCAATTCATTGATTACTAAAAATTTCAAGTTTTTTGAGTTACTATTCAAGTTATTTAAGTTATATTTTACAACTCGATTTAAACTTAAGATTTTTTCGAGTCGAGTCAAGTTAAATTTAACCAAAATTTAACCGTAGATTGTAAGAAATGAGTTGGCTTGTATAATAAATAAAATTTAACCAAAATTTAACCGTAGATTGTAAGAAATGAGTTGGCTTATATAATAAATAAGTAATTAAAGTAAATAATCTTTTTCATTTAAGTATCAAACGTATTTTTTGATCAAAATAAGTATGTAAAGTTATCTTTTTTGTCAAAATAGTTACCTAAAGTATTTTTTAGTCAAAATATGTACTTAAAGTATTCAATTATTTTATCTAAGTACCTAAAGTATTCTTTAATTAATAATGTCAATTTTTTTTAAAAAAACTTATATGGAAAAGTTTGAATAGTTTAAGTACCTATTTTAACATAAAATACTTTAGGTATCTATTTTGACCAATAAGATAACTTTCATGCTTTTTTTGACAAAAAAATATTTTAGGTACTTAAATGAAAAAGTGGGTATACTTTAAGTACTTATTTATGATATAAGCCAAATGAGTTTAATTAGTTGAGTCGTATTCTTTTTTTAATAGTCTAGACTCTATAATGTTTACAAATTAGTACGTAGGGATGGCAACAGAGATGAGTTGGGTTAGATTTTTTTGTTAATTCGACCCAAAAAAAATATTTATCCTCCACTCGAATTTGACCAGATTATATATCTTCCAACCTTCTAGATCCGTCCCGAAAAATATGTCCTCTATCCACTTCTGATTCGACTTGAATTTTTGGAGTATAAATTCGATCCGACCCAACCTAGTATAAAATAAGGATTTAATTAAAAATAATAATAATTTTAGTGAAATTACATTATTATCCTCATGTTATGTCGGGTCAGAGTTTTTTTACCCTTCAACTTACCCGACCAACCTCACTCCCTTAAAAAATCCGGCCCTACCCAATCTAAACCCGATTTAAAAAAAAAATGATCCTATCATATTGGGTCTGGTCGGAACTCTTCGTTTCATATTAAATTGCCATACCTAAGTGTATGTTCAAAATTTATCTTATATATTTAGGGATAACTACAATAATAACTCTCTATATATTATTTTTTTCAATTAGATCTCTATTTTTATTAAATAAAATAGTTTTTTATAAATATATTTATTTCGGGTCGGGTTCATGTTTTATCTCAAAAAATCGAGTCGAGTACAAGTCAGGTGAAGTCACTCCTAAACTCATATCGGATCGGATTTCAAGTGGAGAGTATACATTTTCGGGTCGAGTTAGGTTGACCAAAAATTCAACCTGACCCATGTCCATCCCTAATCGAGACGATAATGTCACGAGATTGGGTGAGAGAAAATGTCATGCCTAGAAAAGGAAATGGAAGGTTATGGAGTTTACAAGCGGTATCAAACATGTCTTCTGGAGAGAGGAACGGGTAACAACCCGTGACAAAATATTAATGACTAGGGGTGTTCATTCGGTTAATTCGGTGGCCGAACCGACCGAAATACCATTTTCGAATTAACCGAACTTTTTTTTTCTTTAACCGTTAACCGAACCAAATTTTTTTCGAAAATATTAACCGAACCAAATAAATTTCGGTTAATTCGGTTAATTTTCGAATTAACCGAATTTTTTTAGAATTTTTGAATTTAATATTTTTTAAAATTAAAAATAACAATTTACAATTAATTTAAATAATATCTAATTATAAATAATATCTAATTAATTTGATTCAAACATTTTGCATTTAGTTTTGATATTATTTTAATTAATTAATAATGATTTGGGTTTTAAATGTGTTTTAAATGGATTTGGCATCTTAATATAATTATATTTAAAGGTTAATTCGGTTAATTCGGTTAATTAACCGATTTCGAATCGAATTAACCGTTAACCGAATTCCAAAAAAATCTTTAACCGTTTTCCGACCGAATTAATTCGGTGGCCGACCGAATTAACCGAACTAATTCAGTTCGGTCGGTTAATTCGGTTAAAACCGAATTTTGAACACCCCTATTAATGAATTTATTTTTCCTTAAACACATTATAGTCAAGTGGTCCGTGTACTAAATTTTGAATGAATGCTCCATGAGAATGCATGGAGAGACCTTTAAGAAAAAGAAAGAAAGAATGTATGGAGAGAAAATAATACCGTAAAGCATGATTTAACCTAACCTAAACTTTGATGAACCAAAACCTTTTGCTTTGCTCAACTAAATAGGTCCCCATTTAGTTCAAATGATAAGTAGTTTGATATCGCTTAAGTGAGGTCCTAAATTTGAATCCTTGTGTGTATGCAAAAATTTTCGTTGTGAGACTCACCCGTTATAAAGTCATCGTGTTTTTGTAAGGTTATAAAGTCAAATGCTAATTTTGGTTTAGTTTCATTTTAAATTTAGGGTAAATTACGTGTTTAGTATCTAAATCGATAGTTTGAGTATTAAAACATACTAATATTGATAGTTTAGGCATTAAAATGAGTAATTTGCCCTTAAATTAATTTGGGGTAAATTGGACCGATACGGATATGACTTTGATTGTATGGGCCTTATGTGAATTGGGTATTGAATTTAGGGTTTAAAATGGGGCTTTAATTTTTATTTAAACCATTCGAAATAATTTTTTTAATAAAAAAATTCAACAAATGAGAAGTATTGAATTATGGGTTTAAAACAGAGAAATGATTACGTGCGACAACCTTAATATACGACTAAAAAAATGTTACCGGTTTTGTTATTATTTAAATAACAAGATCGGTAAAAAAATTATCGGAAACATTATTATTTCTACCGATTTTGTTATTATTGGGCGCTTTACCGGTTTTGTTATTTTTTCTACTGGTTTTGTTATTATTGAGCACTTTACCAGAAATGTTTAAAACATTGATGTTTTAGGTAAAAATAATAATATTTTAGATAATTTTTTACCAATTTTGTTATTTAAATAATAACAAAACCGATAGCGTATTTTTTTGCCTTATATTAAGGGTCTCGCACTGTAGAACTTCCCTTTAAAACAGGATTCGAAAAAAATTTGAACTCAAAATATATTTAGACTTAATTTGATTCAAGCTCGAATTCAAGTTCGAACATACCTTAAGCTCGATCTTTTCGAGACGGATATTAAGAAGCTCCCTTTGGCACGTTAAGAACTCGAGCCTGAGTCGAGTATATTCGGTTCGACATCTGAGGATGTAAACAAGCTCTAACAGCCGAGAATTATCTCATACATTAGCAAAGATACAAAGGTTTATTAATAAGAAATACAGATTCTAAGAAGAAATGACTACAAATCTTGATCCGAAAAACAGCTAACCAAAGAACCATTAATTCCCCAGCAAAATGGCAAATCATGCAGCAGGAAAGGAGGAACAAGGCAGGCCAAAGTACCTTAAATCCTGCTAAGAACTTTCTCGGCCGCCGCAATCGTCTTTTCGATGTCTTCCAACGAATGTGCCAAGCTCGTAAATCCGGCGTCGAACTGTGAAGGTGCTAAGTATACATCTTCTTCAAGCACTCCCCTATGAAACCTGGCGAATTTTGCAGTATCGCTCTTCTTTGCATCATCAAAGTTGTGAACAGGTCCTTCCGTGAAGAAAAACCCGAACATCCCGCAGATATGCCCTCCGCAGATCCCGTGTCCCGTCTTCTTTCCGGCGTCTAAAATGCCTCGAACAAGTTCTCCGGTGATCTTATCCAAGTATTCGTACGTTCCCGGCTCTTTCAACCGCTTAAGGGTGTGTATCCCGGCCGTCATTGCCAATGGATTCCCACTCAAGGTACCAGCCTGGTACATCGGCCCTGCAGGTGCCCCCATTTCCATAATGTCCGTCCTCCCTCCATATGCACCAACAGGCAGACCACCACCAATTATCTTCCCTAGGGTTGTTAAACCCGGTGTTATGCCGAAATACTCCTGTGCCCCGCCGTAGGACAACCGAAATCCGGTCATCACTTCGTCGAATATGAGGAGGGCGTCGTTTTCCTTGGTAAGGCGACGTATGGCTTCAAGGAAGTCTGGTTTAGGTGGAATGAAGAAAGAGTTCCCAACAAAGGGTTCGAGAATAATGGCTGCAAGTACGCCTTTGCCGCTCTGAAAGAGACTTTCGACGGCGGATATGTCGTTGTAAGGGGCAGTTAGAGTTTCGAGAGTGGCTGCTTTCGGAACACCAGGAGAGTCAGGCAGTCCTAGGCAGTCCCTCGAATTTGATGAGCTTTTCTCGTCCTGTAAACGCACGCGCAAGTCGCAGCAAGCCCATGCATGCTTCCATACCCGAGTTTATGGACCGTACCATTTCGATGCTAGGCACGGCGGAGATTACCGACTCGGCCAAAACGTTCTCAAGAAGACATGGAGCGCCAAAGCTGGTTCCTTTCTTCATTGTTTCAGCCAGAGCAGCAAGCACCTGCAGCAAATATTTGCAAACCATGAAGAATTATTATATGTGCTCTCCATTACAAACCTAACAACTCTTGGTTGAAAAAATTTGGACCCTAAATAAGACGAGAAAGATCATGAGCTACTCGAGATCGAGTCGATCAAATTTTGTCAATTCTCAAATTGAATGGACTTGACTCGAATTCTTAAAGAGCTAAAGCGAGCTACTTTATATCCGACTCGAAAAACTTGCAAGCAACGCAAAAAAATAATATATTAATTTTTAGATTTTTTTAAATTAAATTATTAATAATATTAACATTTATATTTTTTTAAAATATAATATAAGGTTTCCATACATTTGAGGTTCAGGTTCGAGTTTGAACTTCAATCAAACTAAGTTTAAGAATATTTTGAGATCAAATTTTTTCGAACTAGAGTCGAGCTTGAAAATTTAAACCCGCGAGCTTTCGAGTCGTACTGCAATTTTTCATTGCGAGTTCAAGTCCAACTAGACAATTTAAAGCTTGTAAGTTCTCGAGTCGAATCATGTTCAATTTTACATTTTTGAATTGAGTCGAACTCGACGATACTTAAACTCAACTCGGCTCATTTAATACCCTAAACATAATGCATCATCATGGACATTGCATCCTAACATAACAAGAAGAAAATAAAGTCAAAAAGCATATGAAGTTATGGGATTTGTTAGTCTAACATTTAGTTTTCGTAATTCAACTTATTAATAGTTAAAATAACTTATTTCTCAACCTAACTCGTTCTTCGTTAAGCTCACTAAAATTTTAAATAAAGTAACTACTAAAATTTTATATATAAAAAATTAACAAAATAGTAATGAAGTCAAGTTAAAAATTGTTCAACTCATTAAGATATCGAGTCAAACTCTAATTCGAATCAGATCAACCCAAAACGAACATTAAACAATTTTAAATTGTTTTTAGAAAAGAGAGATGCTCATAAAACTTTTTATCAAAATGTAAGCTTTGAAACCTCAGCCTCATGAAACAAGAAGATGTTCACTATGAGAAACTAGGCAAATCTCAACTACAACCATACATACTACTACAATTAAGTTACTACAACTAAGTTACTACAAGAGTTACAATCCCACCATCTAAAATCACTAGGCCAATTCTAGTATTCTATCACAAATGGGAATCAAATCCCATGAGGGATCAGATAATTACCCATGACCATGCACATCTCACAAGTTGCATATGGTGAAACTAGTCATCTCTGTCACCATCTTTATCGGCACCACTGCCTGTATCGGCATTATCCTCGCTTTCCTCCCCTTCCTCATCCTCATCAGACATGTTATTTATCACTTCCGTAATAATGTCCTTCACCTCGGCTTTCCGGTGCATCAAATCCAGCCCAAAGTGTGTACCTGCAATGATCCAAATCCTATAATTATTCAAGTATAAAAGTTGATATTGTAATTTAAATACTTTAACAACAGCAGGCAAAACATACCCAGTTGTCGAAGGATATCAGATAACGTTGCCTGCATCATAAGAACACAATTTTAGCACTGGAACTCTGAATCCACTCATTTCACCTCCAAATTAGACAGATAAAAGGATTAAAGATGATACTTACAGTGTTGAAGTCCACTTTTTTTAGGATATCTACCACTACATCATGAATCTCTCCCCTGGTAGGCTCAGGTTTAGGTTTCTTACCACTTCTTCCTTTACCTGTAGCAACAGCATAAACACAAAGGCATTGAATAAAAGATCAGCAAGCCACTTCAAATATCTCCCTTCTTTTAATATTATGCAAACATAAAACATCTGTATTTAGCGAAACCTACCTTGCGACTTAGCAGAAACCTTTTCTGATGACTTGTTTGTTTGCTTCTTGCCAGCAGCCTTCTCTTTGGTGGAACCACCCTTAGAGCTTTCCTTTTCAACCTTCAGCTTCTTTGACGCAGAACCCTTTGATTTAGAACCAGAATTTCCACCATCACTGACATCTTGCTTTGAAGTTGATCCTGAGGACTTTTTGCTAGATTTTGCTGGGGTAGCCTTCTTTCCGGATGTGGGATTATCCTTGCTTTTTGACTCAGGACTCTCTGTTGCTGTCTTTTTCGAAGTACTTTTTTCGCTAGACTTGTTGGGCTCTTCTTCCTCCTCTGATTTAGTCTCTTCATCATCATTCTCTTCTTTAGGAGTAGTGTCAGCATCATCTTCATGAGAATCATCTCTAGAGAAAGGGGATTCAACTTTATCATCATCTTCATCTTCCTCAACTTTGGACGAACGCTTACGCTTTTCCCCACCTTGGGGTGCTCTTTGTCGCTTCTGTGGAACAAATTTTGAATCAAATAACAAGCATCAAGCACTCTCAGCCCCGAAAATTTCCAGAAAATAAAAATAGGACAGAGACAAGGAAATGGATAAAATGAGGGAAAATTATCATTCTGAAGCCGTGATTCCCAGCTAGATTCATGTAGGACATCCTAAATCTGGTAGACATTTACTAAATCTTTTTTCCTCTATTTTTCCTTTTTTTTTTTTGAGAAACCAAAGTCTGTACATGGTTTTGTTTGCTAGACAACATCTATGGACATAGCCGTATAGGTAAAAATGTTCTAACCCACCAAACAAAAGGGGAAAAAACCAAGCATTCTTGTCTATGGTATTTACAAGCACCAACACTCATCTGCAAGTGGAACATCATTGCAAGCCAGACCAAGGAAATGCACACAATGAACCTTAGCAAGTACGATAATGAAAATAATCACAAGATTCAGGGAAACAAAATAATGCCAGAGAAACATATATAAACTAAAAACAAACACAGTTTTTCCCCATAAACACATAGGAACCACAGTCTATTAAAGATCATTTGTGACTTGGCAAGTGGAGAAACATAAATTATTCTTAATCTGCAAACAGTCACGGGAAAATCACTCCAACCTTTAATCAAACCACCAAGAGTATCTATAACCCATATAAATGGACTATAGTAAGAACCAATAATAGGTAATGACTAATGAGAACAAAACTGACAAACTTCAACAAGCATATAACAATGGATAATCTCCACATGACTGGACAAAAAACAATAAGTTAACACCTATATTAACAATACAAATCCAAGAACATACAATACAGACACAGCAGCCAGTGAGTAAGGTTTCATAAAACAAAATAAATAGAAATGTGAGATCAAGTCTTGAGAGCACCAACTTTGATAGTCTAAGATTAATTACCAACCCTTGCAAAAACAAGACAACATGACAATTCTTAAACTTCATTCTTATAAGCAAAAACAAAAAACAAAATTTAACAGATCACATTGATCAAAGCAATTTTAAACTCAGCTTGGGAGCAGGTAAAATGATACACAATCAAATATATATTTAAAAAGAAATAAGACGAATCAATAAAATACAAGGCACAAAACAGAACAGGGATACATGCAGGAACAAGCACTACCCAATAATCATAGAATGATATAATAGATCACAACAAATATATAAAAAGGAGCAAAACCAAACAAAACAAACCTTGGCCGATGTATTTGAAGCCTCCCCAGAACCAACATTTTTGCTTGGTGTAGCTTTACGCTTTTTACCCTTCTGAAACAAGGATAAAGAATATCATTCAGATCCAAACTGACAATTAATCATGCCAAATACTTCAACATGCAAAAGAATTTCAAATAGCATTGCACCTGTTCCTTGTCAGCAAGAAGAATGTCTGTAGTAGCATGGGGGGATTCTAAAAATTCCAATAATTTGGCAGAGACTTCCTCCTACAAAAGATAAATGAGTTACACTCAAATAAACAAGCAAAGTCATTACATAAACAATGGTACATTTTATATATTTCTTACTGACCTTTCTAACAGTGGCCTTTGCAATTGGAATATTCAGCAAATCACAGAAATCAACCAATTTTTCTTTAACACATTTTTCAATTTTTTCCCTTATTTTTGCTTTTTGTTTTTCCTGCTGAAAAAAATAAAAAGCAATGGTCATTAAGAGATTCCCACTTAATGAATAACAGCTCATTCCCAAGGTCAAGCATGGGCAATGTATCTTCAATTAATCTATTTTGACTTCATGAAATGCAACAAGAGAACCATGCAGCCAGACTACAGCGGGAAAAGAAAGAAACCAACTTTTACAAGATTAAATAAAATACCTCATTCTCAACCCAAACATAGCCCGAAAATTGGCCAATGTTTCTCTTCAAACTGTAAGGCTGTAGATGGAAAAATACAATTAGTACCGAAAAAAGTATAATGAGACAACAAGACGATATAACTTCATCACCTTTGCTTTCTTTCCAAAGAGTATCACATGAAGCATCTGCAGATTGTCATCAGCTTTTCTCTTTGACAGTTTGAAAGCCACTGAAACAATTTACAAAACCAGAAAATAAATAGGCCAGACTCTGCACTGCAGTAACAGAAATGTTCAATAACCGTATAAAATTGTCATTTCAAAGAATAAGGCATCAAAACAGCATTGATAGAATCTCTCCATCATCCAAGAGAATAATGAGTCAATTATTAAATGAAACTGCAAGAGGCTAGCAGTGATATGCTAATCTTGACAGTAGTCAAATACATCTCATCCACAAATTTCCAATCAATTCAAGTACCTATAAAATTCCTACCAAGCATGAGAATCCACAATGAAACTGTTGGAATGAACTCATGACAACAGGTATTTATGAGGCTATTGGGCTAAAATAGTAGCCCAAAAGTTGAAAAGAAAATAATTGCAAACATTATCAGCAAGAAACAAATAGGTCATCATAGCAGGTCAAAACTGTTCACATTTATCTGATTATACAAAATTTTAAGTTTTTAGAGTTTGACCAATGATTCCTCCAATTTCAAGTATTTACCATACCATTTATTCAAACTCAACAACAATCAAAATGGTAAACTGCGCATGAAAACCATTTAACCTCATTTTAGGACTTTGAATGTCCTTATTCACATCTCTATTGACAGGTTTCATGGAGACTGCTTGTTCTGCTTCCTAAGTATAAAACTAAAATGCATAACTAACAACCAAGTCTCAGATAGTTTGCATCGCCAAAAAGTAAAGTGAACTTTAGTTATTGTTAAGTATCAAAATTAACTAAGTTCTAAGATATAGTCTGCTGATAACCTAGACCAGATGACATAAAAATAACCCAAAATTGAATACAGATCGAAGCTCAATCGGATCCGTTGAAATTCAAATAAAACATTTAACAAAGAGAGTAGATGCATACCATTCGGAATATCTTTAAGCTGTGTACCGCGACCCTGGAAGCAAGGCAGATTATATTAGGAGTCAAAATGAGGAAAATGGAGTGAAAAGGGAAACCGAATTCTTAACGAGAACAATACCTTTTCAATTGAAAAATGTTTGGCTGAGGATGATCTGGCAACGGAAGGAGCTGAGTACCTTTCCACGACTTTCCTTTCCCTAGTAGGCCGATCACTGCCCGGAGTCACGGGCTCTTTCTTCTCAGCCGAATCTCGACCGGGCTTCCTTGGCCTTCTTCCCTTTCGACCACTACCTTTAGCACTTTTATTTCCTTCATCTTCGCTATCTTCTTCCTCCTCCTCCTCCTCCTCCTCCTCATCTTCCTCTACTTCTTTCTGCTCCTCTTCCTCCACTTCTTTCTGTTCCTCTTCTTCCACTTCCTTCTCTTTTTCTCCCTTTCCTTCCTCTTTCACTTTCTCGTCCTCCTCTTTCTCGTCAACTTCCGTTTTTTCCTCAGCTTCCCGAGAATCTTCTTTCTCGGAAACCTCTTTACAATCCTCACCGTCTCCCTTCTCTCTCTCCTCCCCCTCCTCTTTACCTTTAACCGGGGTAGCCTCCTCTTCCTCCGTTTTCTTCTCGTCTAGGGTTTTCTCCGCCATAGAAACCACCAACCAAGCAGTTCCTCCTAAAACCCTAAAATTGAATTCAAAACCCTAACAATTCAATAGACAGTGAGCAGAAATGGTGAGTGATGAAGCGCAGAGCAGTGGAAGTGAAAGACGGGGAAATCAAAGTGTTTGGCGTAGAATTGACCTTGTTATTTGTAGGTCAGAAATTGGGGAATTTTTTAGATAAAAAATTTTCGTTTTCGTTAACGCGCGCTATGGAGATGAGAATAAGAGGGACGAACGAGCGCCCACCAAAAAAAAATATTTCAGAGAGCGGGATTTCATTCTCCTTTCCCCTTTTGGATAAATTACGCATTTAATATCTGAATTATCATTTTTAGTTCGTTTTAATACTTACTTTTTTTTATTTTTCAACACCATACCTATTGTTTAGTTTTTATTTCGTTTTAGTACCTTATCGTTAAAAACTTAACAGGTGATTTGCACCTTTTTTATGGATAAATTGTATCATTCATCACTCAATTATCTTCTCACTCCTGTTTTGGTTATTAAAGTTTAGTTTTTTTAATTTAATTACTTGAGGTCCTGGGTTCAAACACCAGGAATGTCAGGGGTGTGAGTGTTCATTGTCAAATGGTTGAGAGTTATCTTTGAATATATATTGTCTTATACTTACCCCATATTAATAAAAAAATAACTTTCAAATTTTTTTTAGTTGTATGATAAAAAATATAGAAAAGCCATGACATAAATTATTAGTAAAATAAAAGCCATTTGAAAGTTGAGTAGTTAAATAAAAAAATTTGTAACTTTAGTCAAAATAGGAGTGAGAAGGTAGTTGAGTGATGAAAGATATAATTTACCCATAAAAATGCAGTGTCGTTAAGTTTTTTCTAAAACGAGTACTAAAATGAAACAAAAACTAAATATTAAGTATGGTTTTAAAAAAAAATAAAAGTTAGTTACCAAAATAAATTAAAATTGATAGTTTGAGTATTAAATGTGTAATTTACGTTTCTCTTTTTCATTTTGGATTTAATATAAAACAAAGGGAAAACTACACAAATAGTCATTAATTCTTTAGGAATTTTTCATTTTTCATATTTAAGTTTTAAAAATAATAAATTAATCACTAATGTTATAAATTTGTAACAAATCGATCACTCAACGTTAACAGACGTTAACGTGAGTGACAAAAAAAACTTAGATGGCTTGTTAACCACTTACATGGACCGTTGACTACCACATTGGATAATCTACTAAACGATTGATCAAAATCTAAACCAAAATGAGAAACGAGAGATTGGTAAAAATCTAAGTGTGTGAAATAGTCAATATGAGTTGTTGGAAGTAAGTCGCATTATACGGGCCTATTTGCGGGATACACAGATATAACTACTTAAAATTAAAATGAACGGTTGTTCAGTGCCTAAATAATCAATTTATGTTTGCTTTAGTACTTAAATTAAAAAAAAATTAAAAATATACACACATTTAGTTTTTGTTTCATTTTAACATATTGTCGTTAAAAACTTAATGGATGATTTGTACGTGACACCTTTTTCATAGGTAAATTACATCATCCATCATTCAACTATCTTTTTTACTCTTATTTTGGTCACTAAAGTTTAATTTTTTTAATTTAACTACTTAACTTTTAAATTACTTTTAATTTAATAATTGTAATTTATTTTATGAACCACCTAAACGGTTGATCAAAATCTAAACGAGAAGGAAAAATGAGAAATTGGTCAAAATCTGAAGAGTCCAAACTAGCCACTAAGAGTTGTTGGAAATAAGTCGCATCATAGGCATGGGTAGTTTTGCTGTACGACAGTCTTAATATACGGCTAAGGAAATATTATACCGAAAATATTAATATTTTTTAACATTTCCGATAAAACGCTACCTAAAACATTATTTTTTTAGCGAAAATGTTAATTTCGCTACCTAATTTTTAGTATAAAAAATAATATTTTAGGTAACGTCCAATACTAACAGTTCTAGTAGAAAAATAATGTTTTAAGTAACGCTTTACCGAAAATATTAAAAAAATATTAACATTTCCGATAAGTCATTTCTTTAATCGTATATTAAAATTATCATACCTTAGACATCCCCGCATCATACGATCTTGTTTGCTCGGGATTAACAGATACAACTATTTAAGATGAGAATGAATTGGAAGAAAGGGAATCAAAGGTCTAAAATCCTAATTTCATTCGTTTCATGCTCTGTCGCGTATAACTGTATTTGTCATAAGGGTAAATTACATGTTCGGTAACTGAATATTACTCTCTTTCCTATTTCACTCACTATACTTTTTTTTTCAATTTACTCACTGAACTTTATAGATTAAATTATTTTTGTCACTTATCGTTAAATGATAAAACAACGTTAATACATGATAACTTACATCAAAATAACGTCGTTTTGAATTAATGAAGAAGAAAAATAAATTTTAGACTAAAACAACGTCGTTTTGATTAAAATACGGTCATGTAGTAATGTCGTTAATTATTTAACGGTTGAGTGGCAAAAAAATTAAATATGTAAAATTTAGTGAGTAAATTGAAAAAAATGAAAGTATAATGAGTAAAATAGAAAATATAATAAAGTTCAGTTATCGAACATGTAGTTTGCCCTTGTTATAATCATTGGCATTAAGATCAATTTTCTCGTGTTAATTATAAATGCCGAGGGGAATTCATTCAGGTTCGCGTTCGCTGGTAGTAAGGAAGCATTTTACCGTGCAGTTGTATTATTATTATTTTCACTGCAATTAATGATTTGTCATTTTATATTGGATAAATTACGCATTTAGTATTTAAATGATCAATTTTGATCTATTTTAATATTTAAATCTTCAATTTTTAAAAAGTATACATAACGTTTAATTTTTGTTTAATTTTAGTACATTACCTTTTGAAAACTTAATGATATTGTATTTTCTATGGGTAAATTCATTCATCACTCAACTATCTTCCCACTCCTATTTTAGTACTAAAATTTAAAAAAATCAAATTTAACTAATTAACTTTCAAATTGCTCATATTTTAATTACTATGAATTATTTTATTATTTTATTAATGTATAAATAAAAATTTAAAAAGTAATAGCTAAAGTGATTAATTTATGAGTAATCTGAAAGTTAAGTAATTAATTTTAAAAAATAAACTTTAGTGACCAAAATACGAGTGAGAAGATAGTTGAGTGACGAATGATGTAACTAAAATGTGTCACATGCAAATTACCCGTTAAGTTTTTAACGCCAATGTACTAAACTGAAATAAAAGCTAAATGTTAGGTATAATTTTAAAAAAAATGAAAGTTTAGGAACTAAAATGGACTATAATTGATAGTTTAAATACTAAAACGGACCAGAACTAATAGTTTAAGTATTAAACTTATAATCGGATCATCATAAAAAATTAATTATGAATATCTAAAATTACATAAATGTTTCTTCAATATGCATCTGTTGAAACATTTTAATATTTCGATATAACAATTTAAGTTAAATGGATTTTAAGATTTTCCAAATGATTTTCTAAGTATATTCGATATAACTATTCGAATATCAAAACATTACTCCAAATATTTCAAAAATCATTTTTAATCCTTACTTAAGTGTAAAATTAAGTTTTAATCATAAAACAATTTCAAAATAATTTTACAAAGTATTTCGAACCAAATCAAAGCCAAAAATTTCAGATTGCTCAGAGGGAACCGATTTCCCCCCATAGGAGGAACCGATTCCCCCCTGAATGGTTTGGCTCCGAGATTTCCAGAATGCTCGGAGGGAACCGATTCCCCCATAGGAGGAACCGATTCCCCCCTAAACATTTTTGTTCCGAGAATTCCAGTATGCTCGGAGGGAACCGATCCCCCCCAAGGGGGTACCGATTCCCCCCTGTTCAACGGTCGAAATATTTGAATTTTACACTTAGGGAACCGATTCCCTATGAGGGGGAACCGATTCCCCCCACGCTCCAAGCTATTTTATTAAATGTTTTCACACTAAAACGGCTATAATATCTTCTCTAATCATCCCCAACGTTCAGAAGTGATCCAAGGTGTATTTAAGCAAGCTTAGAAGCCATTGATCAGCAACAAGAAACATCAAGCAACTAGAATCAAGAGAGAATCAAAGAGAAAGCATCAAACCTCAAGTTTGAGCATTTCAAGCCTATTTTCATTCAATATTCATTTTACTTTCAAGAACACTTTTTGTGCTCAATTGTATTCATCTTTGAGTGTTCTTTTCTTTGTTCTAGAATTGTGCAAACATCTTACCTTGTGAGGTTTTCTTGTAAGTTTGCAAATTTGTAATCTTCTCTTTGAGAAAAGAGTGTTCTCAAGAGTTGGGGTATACTCTTGAGGGAATTGTAAGGTTATCTCTTTGGCCTCAAAAGAAAGAACAAATTAGTGAATTTGTTGGAAAATCCTTAGTGTGGATAGCTAAGGTAGTGGACGTAGACTTTGTTTGAGAAAGTCGAACCACTGTAAATCGCTGTGCAATTCCTTTCAATTTTCTGCAAAAGCTTCCACAAATTTTTTATTGCCAATTCACCCCCCTCTTGGCCAATTTCGTCATTCGATTAACTCAACAATTGGCATCAGAGCCTAACTCATTTGAAGGTTTTATCGCCTCTTGAGTCGATTCGGGAAGAGTTATATCGATTATTAAAGTCATCAATGGCCTCCGCTTCAAACTTCGACTCCGGTCTCGATTCGATGCCCGTCAACAAGCCTCCTTTCTTCAATGGAGCTAACTACGCCTATTGGAAGAATAGAATGATGTACTTCATTCAAGCAAGTGACATGGGAGCATGGAATGCCGTAGAAGAAGGATACATTAAGCCTATCACTCATCCAAGGTTGTGGAGTGAAGGAGATACAAAAATGTTCCAGCTCAACTCCAAAGCCATCCATATTATCTTTTGTGCTCTTGGACCAGATGAATACGGAAGAGTTTCATCGTGTACAACCGCCAAAGAAATATGGGACAAGCTTCAAGTCACACATGAAGGTACCGATGAGGTAAAGAAATCAAAAATTAGTATTCTAACGCATAGCTATGAAAATTTCAGGATGAAACCAAATGAAGACATCAAAGCTATGACGGATAGATTTTCAACGATTGTCAATGGTCTCAAATCATATGGAGAAATCATCTCAAATGAAAAGCTTGTGAGGAAGTTAGTCTACTCCCTCCCAAAATCATGGCAATCAAAGAAGACGGCAATCATCGAGTCTAAGGACCTAT